TAATGCTGCTTCTGTACAATGAGACTGTTGTGATATTCCCATTGATATATTGGCTTTGTTGTACATACATTCCAATTCCTGCATTAAAGGGGTAGGAGTGTCTTGTCATGGCAACAGGTATTATAAAGTTTCTCACCTATTATTCTCATTTCTGTGCTATTGCTCCCAATGTTACTGCTGCTATCAGTAGTGGACTACAAGTGTGGACTCCAGCATCATTTGATTGAAGAATATTATCAGTGAAGGTCTGAGATGAGCTACTTGCGAAACAGCTGATACAAGTCGAGGGCAACTGATAACTGACTGATCCATGGGATGGTGAGCACGGCAGGTGAGAGTTACTGATGTGGTGGGTCGATAGTATGGTGGACTGGGCAGATTGAAGTCAGATGGAGTGTTGTAGGTCATATCTATAGTGACCTTTAACGCTGTAAGAACACACGCAGGTTTCTTTATAGTTAGTGTTACTTTAGTTTGTCCCTACCAACAGAAATGGTGATGGTTTCTTCCATATGGGGGCTCCCCAGGAGATTACTAGTTCCTGGCAGGGGACTACTGGAAGCAGAGCACACATAAAAGTCACTATCACTGGATTTCATTTAACTAATAGTCACAGACGTATTGTACATTAACTAGACATCCCTCAAGTCGGAAACGATAACCCTTCTCCCTCTGTTGGTGAGTGAGGAGTGTCCACTCCAGCGAGAATCCACGGTGATGTAGGAGTCGACTTCAGGTATTAGCTGTGTGAGACAGGTCAGGACCAGAGAGTGACTGCTAGAGAGTTGAATGGGAGGCTCCAGATCTCTTAGTATGGACACAAATGGTGCCGGAACTGTGGTATACATACACACATGAATGACGCATAAAGTACTGTTGGCTTACTTTTGATTTGAACCAGAAATGAATCCTTTACTCTTCGAAGAAGGGAATGAAATTTTAGAGACACACTTGTACACACCACTCTGGGATGTTATAATAGAGTGAAAAGTCAGTTCAAGTGTCATTACTCCATCCACTGTAGGTCAGTGCCAGTTCTGTGGGAATGATTTCATCGCTCCATCCACTAAAGTTGGAACCATCGTCAATAACTCCTCCATTCGGGTCGACCCAATGCATTCTAGCTGCTCTTGCTGAAGAAAAATAAAACAGTGCAGACCAGAGTGTAGGGCTGCCCACTTGCTGCATTAATTAATCATGGCAGATGAAATCATCACTTCATTCTGAAACCTTATGCACTTCAGTGGGAGCAAGCCAACCAACCCTTGCAAACAACTGGCAGAACCACTTAGAAACTGTTGCAGGTCAGGTAGACAGTATCAGATCGCGTATGCATGCACACGGGCGGTAGGCGGGGCAGGCTCTGAGACTGAACGCTCAATTATACCTGCACGGGTTGTACGCATGCGCGATGGGCGGACGGTGACAACATGCCAGTATTGTGTTCGTGTCTCTAGGGCCTAGGGCGAGAGATCAGGGTGTGTCAACCGGTCCCGTTGTGCCTACTCGGAATTCAGTAAGTAGCTGTCTCTCTGTAATACTGATGGTGGACTTGGGAATCAAGTATAAAAAACGGCACCGCGTACTAAATGAAAGGGGCGTGCTCATACGTGCGCTATTCGCTTGCCGCCAGGATGGATCATGATCGGAGCCGGATCTCGTCTAGGGCTAGGACTAGGGCATCGATTGGTTGAGTCTGTCGATGCCCTAGCCCTAGCCCAAGACGAGGTCCGGCTCCGGGCGGCAAGGCATCCTAGACGAGGTCCGGCCCCGATCATGGTCCATCCGGGCGTTTTTATTACGCAGTGCCGTTCTTTATACGCATTGGGGATGGTCCGTGTAAAACCACGGACGCGCTACGGCCTCTGCGCGTGTGTCAACTGTTGATTTCCCGATAGGTCATAATGGCCGCCTCCAGCAGTAAGCTGTCGACATTGGAAGTGAGCAATGCTATTGGCCAACTGACTGTGGAAGAAACGAGACAGCTAGTGTTCCAAATGGGCGTACCTCTCAAGGTCCTGGATGATATTGCTGAGGCGTACAAGTGGGAAAATCGGAAGCACCACTTTGTGCAGGCTTGGCTAGATATGACCCCTGATAGCAGCTGGGACAAGCTGGTTGCTGGGCTGAGGAACATCAATATGAACTCCTTGGCAACTGCGATTGAGTCTGAGCATCAACCAAAAGCGCAATCGACTTGTGATCCCTCCCTTCCCGAACCTGCTGCTATCCCTGTTACTGTTACATTGCCACATGCTAATAGCGTAGAAGAGGTTGAGGCAAATATAGACCATTTGGAGAAAGAATTTTCCGACATCAAGTTCAAAACCAGGCAATCGTTAACGAAAAAGGAGAAACAAGATTATGATTTTTTTGAAATGTTCCGAGAGCACCTTCTAGAGTTACCTGTTGCAAAGAAGCAAGTTCATATTCGATTCTTCAGCAGAAACGAGGAGGAAATCCTTAAAGCTAAGAACATTCAAAAGCTATTTATTATCCTAGGTCGCTACTGCAACTACTCCAACTATGAGATTATCTTCCACGTTGTCAAGAGATTCTGTCATGATCTGAAGGGAAGAATGACTGGTTATCGTGACCCTCTCGTTGCTTTTGAAAAGTCCACAACAGTCGATGTGTACCTATGTGCCATTTCTGCTCGTCCTGGTGGTAAAGTTAGCAAAGGATTCATCCGCATGACCATGAAGATCAACAAGCCACCTTCAGAGTGTTCGCTGTATGAGATCAGAGAGTTTAAGGAATCTATTGAGGAGGCGGCATCTCTGGAGTACTATGCCATGTACATTGAAACCCCAGAGGAGGGCTCTGTATGTGTAGGGTTGAGGGTTCACGAGAAGGTTGTTTGGATGGTGGGAGTGGCCTTCACTCCTAACTTCAGACAAATACATCTTGTGACAGATGTCCATACTCAGTTTTGGGATCGAGATCTCTCAAAGTACCTGGTAAGAAACCCAAGTTTTTTCATGCACAGTAGCTGAATTAAGCCAGTATGTCCAGCAAGCACAGCCTCCTCCGCAGCACACATTTGCACATGTGTCCATATGCAACTACCGATTTTGCCATTATCTATTATGCAGTCGAGTTACGTATCTTGCTTTTAGCTCTGTATAGTGTTATGGACAATGCTGGATCCCATTCTCACATGTAACACCCATGATGAACAAACAGGGCAGAAGTTAATGAGGTCTATCTGACACTTTATTGAAAGTTTCCTGTATGTCCCATAAGAAAAGTACGCCGTAAGTAAAGTATGGAGTACTTTGTAAACAGTTTACACAATGACTTCCAGGCTTAAGTGAATATTAGTCTCTTCACTTCCTTTGAAAACTGAGGGTTAACAAATAATATTTAGAAGCTGCAGTAGAAAGCCGAAAGCCCCGGCATTGTGGCGGCCCGACCGCAGCAGCTGCGCTACCCTGGGACACGAGGCTTTCTACCACCGCATAGTTACCGTGGAATCAACGTCTAACTATTTTATTGTGAGTACTTCACGTTTAGAGCTCTGGCTTTCATGTTCGTTCATATGGTGGAGCACTTCTAACGATGACTCGATGAAGACAGGCTCAGAGTGCCAGAAAATGGAGCGCAAGAACGAAGTGGCAGAGACTAGTGACTCCGCTATCTTTCTGGTTGTGCGCATGCACATAGACGACGTGTCAATGTAGTGTTCAGTTATTGATCTTGTTGTTTAACTACGGATCGCATGTGAGTGCTGGCTGAGCATGCAAATGCCTGATGAGGGGTGTGGCTCGTTCGCCACTAAGGAAGGGCATGTATCGACTCCCGCATGCAATCTACTACTGTAGCTAGTCCATGTCAGACTCCGAGAGCTACTAGCGGGAGACCACGAGCTAATAGCCCAGCCCATCAATTAGCGGTATCGCGCATGCGCAGTTCACCGAGGGTTTGCACTTTAGTGCTTTTCATCTGTAGTTTTTCTATTTTTGCTGAAACCCCGCCAAGGTTTACTACGGGAAATAGTAAACCTCGGCTTTGCAATCTGATTGGTCAATTCGAACCTTGCTCACTCCAGGGTCCAGGCACATGTAGCTAGAATGCACAGGTCAAAGATAATGTTGTTACTCTTCTTGTGAATGAGTTACACCCTGTGTATAATACTCTAGGACGATGAATTGATATCTGCCTCTGAGAGAGGAGACGTGAAAGTAGTGACTTCACTGATCACAGCTGGAGTTGATGTGAATGTCAAAAGCTTGGTGAGACATGAATATTATGAACCTTACTACAAAGTCTTTGTGTCTCAATACACACACGTCTGTCATCACACAGTGGCATGTAAACTGTGCAATAGTATCTGCCGCCAGGGACGGCAAGACCGAAGTTGTTTCACTTCTAAGAGAGGCTGGAGCTAACATTGACCTACGGAATTATGTTAGTTTGTAGTACAATGTGTAGGCATATCAAAGGCACCGCCGAAAAATATAAAACTGTTGCAGCAGCACTTTAAAAGTAGCACGAATAAACTTAAAGGTCTCCAGATATCGGGACACTGTTACGCACGGAAGTTATTGTGGTCTCAACTATACTCGCAGCGGTGCTTTAACTAGTACATACATGTATGTTTAATTAATAAGTAGGTTTTTGTTCGTAAAAACTGTGGTAGTTCTACTGTGGTGTTTGAGAAGTGAAAGGGGGTCCTATAAAGGGGCTTGGGTAGAGAGCATTGAACCTATCTTTACGACATAATTATCACATTCTGTAACATGTAACTGACAGTCTAGTGTGTGATGAACCATTTATCAGTGTCTCACTACACATATCTGTCACATCATGCAGAGAGGAGAGTCTGCATTGATGCTGGCTGCCAAGAAGAGTAGGACTGAAGTTGTTTCACTGCTACTTGAGGCTGGAGCTAAAGTTGATCTACAGAATGAGGTAATGTAATACCAGGGTATTATGTGTATGAGGGGTGTGGTTTTGGGAATCCGTATCATGTCTCTCCTCACACAGCATGGAGACTCTGCACTAATGTTGGCTGCCAAGGAGAGTATGACTGAAGTTGTTTCGCTGCTACTTGAGGCTGGAGCTAAAGTTGATCTACAGGATGAGGTAATGTAACGCCAGGGTATTAGCTATGTGCATGAGGAGGTGTGGTTTTGGGAATCAGTATCATCAGTGTAAGTTTCAGAGTTTTCATATTTTTCTATGAGTCTATTAATCCTTTGAGGCTTTCTATTTTTCTACTGGCTGTTGATTTTATCCTGTAGTTGCCGTTCTTTTGTATATAATCTCTATCTATTTGTTCTCTAAGGGAGGTTGGGACACTGGGTGTGTGGGGAGAGTTGGGCCCATAAAAGATTCTTTTACCTACCGCCCCGGTTCTCAAGGCTGGGCACCCAGGGTCCTGCCTCTCTATTTCTGTTTATATGTTATTGTCTGACATTTCTATTTTTATGTTTTCTTACACGTGTATATGTTGTGCGTTATTTAGAGTAATCGCACGTTTTTTTCTATCTAAGTTGCATCGTCGTACTGCGTAAGTTTCAGAGTTTTTATATTTTTCTATGAGTCTATTAATTTGGGTGGGGTTGGTTCTTTCTTTTCCTCTCATATTATTGTTTTAGCTAGTATGCTATAAACATGTGTTTTCATGTCTCTCCTCACACAGCTTGAAGACTCTGCACTGATGTTGGCTGCCAAGTATTGCAGGACTGACATTGTTTCACTGCTGCTAGAGGCTGGAGCTAAAATTGACCTTCAGAATAAGGTAATACTAGTAGGCGAATGAATGGCATTTTTGGCGAGCGCGGGAGCAAGCAGACAATGACTGTATCTGCACAAGCCATCCTAGCCTATTTACAACTTGCACCTTGGAACAACGATGATTGGAAAGAGGTATATACAGCCTCGGTCAGGCATCAAAGAGTTCAGCGAATGCCGCTGGCGCTGAATGGACGAGAGTTCTCTTGCTGGCTAGACTCGCATGGACATGACAGGCAGCATGTAAAAATTTTGAAATCATTTCAGATAAAAAGAAGTGTGTAATCCTGATGCATGTACAGTAACACGACGTACGGACGAATCGCGTCGTTCAGACCACTAGGTTAGCTCGCTCCCGCTTGCCTATTATGTCAGCGTATGTATATACTGTGGTTTGTAGTGGATTAATGTGTGCTATGAGGTGTAAAAGGGTGTCCTTTTCTACAGTGTCCTAGGTAGAGAGCATTAAAGTTGGTGTAGCTACATTGCAATGTTGATGTATGAATTGACCTCCAAATAGTTTTTGGAGATGGAGGTCATACCGTAGATGGTAGGCGGGGGTCCCCCTATCTCACAGCCAGGTTGGTATCATTCTGGCCTGCAGCCGTTATTCTTGAATGTGGTTAACTGAGCAGAAGTCAGCAAACTTGAGGTGCAAACATTTCAGGGCAACACAGATAGGATGTGCTAAGTGCAGTGTGTGTATGTAAGAGATAATGTGCGTTTAGAGTTCTATACGTGATTTATGGGAACGAGGGGTGTGGTCTCGAGACTCATACAGCACGAGGCGCAGCCGAGTGCTGTATGGGTCTCGAGACCACAACCCGAGTTCCCGTAAGTCATGTATAGAACGATAGGACGCACATTATGTGTTTTATTGTGACTTTGTAGCAGTCGTTGCCCTCCAGCGAGAGAAATGCGACGACATAGCATACTTCCCATGCGCACGTGCGCACTCGCTAGGTTCTCGAGCAAGTTTCTGACCCGAGTTTCTGTTCTCGAAGCTACCGCAATCGAACAAGGTCGTGATGGTGGCTCTTTCTCCCTCAGAGAAACTCGTTTCATAGGTCGCTGGGCCATTTGACCGGTGGGTGTGCCGGCCACGGTCTCGCTTGCCACAGGGAGCTAAATGAAGGGGTGTGGTCGCCTCAGCCATCCCTCGCCTGTACAGCCTCTACAGAACAGTCATCCCTCTCCTCTACAGAACAGTTTTTGTCTACACTATGTGTACGATGGTGACGATAGTTTTTGTATTGAACGTTCAATATTGGCCATATTGAACGCGTACTACAATACGGGAAATAAAAGTATGCGCGGCACCTTTGATCTGCCCACGCAAGTCACAATAAATAGTCATAGTGTGTCACTACACTCACACAGAGAGACTCTGCACTGATGATGGCTGTAAGGTGGGGTAGGACTGAAGTTGTTTCACAGCTAATAGATGCTGGAGCAAACATTGACCTACAGAATGAGGTAAAAATAATGAGCTCCCATGGCAGTAGTGTTAAGTGTCAGCATTGTTTGCTATATATTATAGGATGGAGATTCAGCTGTGATAGTGGCTACCACAAACTACAATCTGTCAGTCCTGAAGGAACTGGCCAGAGCTGGAGCTGATCTCAACCTGCAGAACCAGGTGATTCCTATCTCGGCCCTGGAAGGTCTCACTAATTAGTAATCTCTCTCTGATTAGGAGGGGTTGACCGCCCTGATTATCTCCTCAAGATCTGGTAGATCTGATATCACAGAGATACTACTGTCAGGAGACAACATCGCTCTTGATATTCAAATAGTAAAGAGTTTCTTGATAATAATTATTATAACAAATTGTCTGTCTCTTCTCTCTCCACACCAGACCAATGGATGGTCAGCTCTCTTCTTTGCTGTCGATGAAAGAGATGCAGCAACAACAGAGTTGCTACTAAAGGCAGGGGCTGACCCACATCTCAGAGATTATGTGAGGATAGCTAACACTCTTAACTCATTGTGCGCGCATGAATAAGCCATCATGAATAATAATATAGCGTGTCGGAAATCGAACTCAGGACAAGCACAAACGCTAAAGTGTAACTCGTGTAAACAGCAAGTGTGTATTACAGTGGAACCAGGGACACTCGATTTAGTCCCTTATAGAGAGGTCGTCCTTATCTAAAAGGTCAATTTAAGTATTAGTGTGTAGTTAGAACAAGTGTCCTTTGTAGATACAGGTTGTCCCTATCTCGGAGGGTCCCTTTTTGAGGTTACACTGTATTCCATAATGTGTGCAATGAGTTGAGTGTTAAATTTCCTTTTCTCAGAATGGACTCACAGCCCTGGATATCGCAGCCGGTGTTCCTTCACTGCTACGAGTTATCGGTGTTGGCGATCGTCACAGGGCTGTGCGTCGACTACTGAGAAGCTACATGAGGAAACCCTCTAAATTAGAAGCTTTGCCAGCAGAATCATCACAGGATCCTCCCCAACAGATCACTCATCTCAGAAGCATCCCCAATCAGCTCACTCATCTCAGGAGCCTCCCCAATCCGTGGAATCATCTCAAGAGCCTCCCCAATCAGTGGACTCATCTCAGGAGCCTCCCCAATCAGCAGACTCTCATGAATCAGCAGTCACTAGACTCTCTCAGGTATAATTGGCGAGTGAAGTGAGCCTCTCTGTGTAGTCTGAATGCGGGATTTTTAACTGTATATAACAGTGGGTGGACTCCACATACTGATTTTAAAATACATCACATGGTGTATTTTTCATGTGTATGCACTGGCAGGATATGGGTGCTTGCTGGCTTCATTGCCGCAGCCCAATCCGTTGTCAGTATTTTGAGTTCGGGTTTTGGCTGGTACTGGCGAAGCCTTGTGGGGATGAATCTCATTAGCTCAGAACCACAAGCGCTGCGCCGAGCAAAGCCTTGTGGGGATGAATCTCATTAGTTCAAAACCACAAGTGCTGCGCTCAACTTAGCCTTTATAAACTCATGGTGCCAGAGAGAGAAGTTGTGGTATGCTCTGCTGATGAGGGCCAACAAGCCCGAAACAGCTGTCCAGAGCTCCTCATCTTTTTTCTTCTTCTTCTCTTGGCATCACATGGTGTATTTTTCGTGTGAAATATTGAACTGCTTGCTTTGCTCGCCAAAAATGCCTAATGTATCAAGGGAGCTCTGCAGGCTGGAAAGGAATAATTGGGAAGTTTAATCCACCTAAGTTCTCTATTCATGCTGATGTTTTTAAGCTTTCTCGACTCCTGCTATTACGACTGTTGTGTGATTGTCTCCATCCACAGAGCCTACTAAAACTTGTGAAGGGTGCCAGACAAGCAGCAAAGCAGGGATTCGATCGTCTGGAGTCCAGAGTCCTGAGACCTAATAAGGTGAAGATTGAGGGGGTGGAGTTAGTGGTCAGAGGTCAGGAGGGAGAAGAGAGAGTCAAGCAAAAGCTGAGACCACATCCACCACTAGAACAGCGTCCTCATGATGAATATTGGACCAGTCTTGCTCCACATGACTAACATTGCCAACCACACCTGACATCAACATGCGGCTCATTTATTATGTAATGATGTTGATGCTAATTTTCGGTTTTCATTGTACTACCTTTAGCAGCTAGTTCCTTCAGATGTCAGATGGTATGAGAGATTGAGCTTCTGCTGGAAGTCAATCCCAGATCTTAGCAATGGCGATAACTAGTCACTCATGAGCAACAACAAAAAAGCCTACCAAGTGTCTATGAATGGTTCTTCAAAAGGTTGGAGCATTGTGGACACAATTAATGACGTGCCATTAACGATAAAACGAATATTATAGGCATGACACAGGTTATCCAGCATCATGCCCATACATCCATTTTGAGAAACTCATGCGACATAATATAATCCAATTGCCATACGGACTCTACAGTAAGACTTGATAGAGGGGAGTAGGTAGCAACTATACAGTCACATAATATACTGCACCATGACCAAGGTGCCATCGCAAACTCAGAAGTGCAAAATAATGAGAGTCAAATTATTTTAATGAGCATGGTTCTGTGTGCCATAGTAGTTTACTGTTACTGTGTCTGGTTCACAGTAAACTCAGTGGCTTTGTTACAAGATACATAGTTTGACGTCTTCTCCATCAGTTAGAGAGATTCTGAGAGTGTTGTGTGTAACCACGGACAGCATTGCTATATAATACACTGGCCCAGGAGCAGGGTGGAGCAAGCACACTCCCAGATTGAATCTTTGACATTTAGATCATACTTCGACATTAGCTGACAAAAATACTATTATTAGTGCGCAAGAGATGCTCAACGTAAGTAATGGGGCGGAAGACGGCGCAAGCTAGAGATGGGCGTCATTTCAAAATGCGCGCACTGCGCATGCGCCAAACGTGACGCTATCAGACGCAGCTTTCCGAGCGAGTCGTTTGTGTAGAAGGTGTCTGCTGAATAAAGCAGAGGTACAATGGTGTTTTCTGCGACAATTACGAAGGTTGCTTCGCAGAGACGGTACTGCGCAAATGCACCCGAGGAAAAAGGGAGACGAACAGGTCGTTTTACAGCAGTTACTGCACGAGAGAAACATAACTTCCAAGCGATTTCACGTGAAGGTTAGTGTAGCTACCTAGCTATTACAACTTCACACTTTATAATGACTAAGTGTAGCAACAGACTATGTATAATAAAGATGAGTGAATCGTATTCCTGGTTTCTCGAGTGTAGGTATAAGCTACATAATTTGCCGTTATAGTATAGCTAGTTATGCTGTCGATTAATGTAGCAGTTTAACATGAAGAGCAGGTCAAATATACTAATGTAATGGTTAGTATTACCAGTGAGCGAGATACGGTTCACAGGGAAAAGCGCACACTTGGCCTATTGCGCATGCTCAGTTGTTGCTTAAATTACGACGCTCTGGGACGCGAACGCTCATTTTTGTTTGTTCATGGTTTGTGAGCAGATGGTGTTGTGTTAGCTCAGTAAACAATGGTGTTAGGAAAACTGAGGAAGCTGTTTCGTCGAGACAATAGGGCGCACATGCACCCAAGGGAAAGTGGGGGCGAACCGATCACTTGCCAGTGCATAGATGAGACCCTGCGCAAGAGAAACGTAACTTTTCACGTGAAGGTTAGCTTATCTAAAGATTGTACCATGAGTAAATGTAGAAGCAATTCATTTGATTGGAAGTGGGATTGAATCTAAGTATGGGGGAGAGGAATATGGACGTAGATTGTAGGTGTAAATGGAAACTTTTTCACAGTAGCTAGCTAATATATATACGATTTAGTCCTGATAATATACATGCAATAGGAACTTCTGTCATTTTGTAGTAGGGAAGAAACACCCATGAATACCGACATAAAATAGCTAGTTGTGTTGGCAGAAGAGGGAGTCTGGGAGAAACGCGCACCTGCTCTTTATACCAGGGTGGTCGCCATAAAACACGACTCTCTAGGACGCGGACGTTCATTTGTGTTGTCCAAGGTTTGTGAGCAGACGGTGTTGTGTTAGCTCAGTAAAATACGAGCTGCATAATGGTGTTACGAAAACTGAGGAAGTTGTTTCGTCGAGGCAGTAGGGCGCACATGCACCCAAGGAAATATGGGGTCAAACTGATCGCTTGCCAACAGCAAGTTGAGATTCTGCGCGAGAACGTAACTCTTCACATGAAGGTTAGTGTACCCTAGCTACAGATCTCCGAGCAGAGCATAGAATGGGATGGAGTTTGAACAGTCATATGTACCAACTTATGTTGTATGGTGTTTATAACAAGGGACAGATTCACATCAATGTGCATATGATATTATTGTTTAGAATGTGGAGATCAAGAGGTCATATGAGACGATGTATGAAGAGTACCTCAAGACTGAGACTGAGGTGATCCATGATGAACTGGAACACACTCCTGATGTGAATGCTGTAAGTACAAATAGCCAATGTGTGTTTTGACTAGCTACAAGAGTTATGGTAATATTACTACAGGTTGTGACAGTGGATGAAGAAACTGAGTCTGAGCCGAAGACAAGTGTTGAGGATTGCGACACACTCTCTCTCAACAGCGACAATCGCTCTAGCTCCTTCTCTGAGTGTGAGAATGAGGAAGGAAGCAATAATGCTGAGACGAGAGAGGACGAAGAGGACAAGATGTGTGATGCAAACGATCACGCAAGAAAGAGTGAGGACTGTTGCAATGCTGAGGGTGAAGAAGTGGATGAGAAGGGAGATGGAGAAAATGATGTCGTTGGTTCAATCTCCAAGAGTGAGAAAGAAGAAGAAACTGAGGTTGTTGAGATGAAGAGGAAAAAAGGAACAGAGTGCGACAAAGAGGGTCATGGTGGGGAAAGTGTTGCCTGCAATGAGGTCGAGAGAGAAGAAACTGGTGAGGAAAGTGAGAGACCACAGATGAATATGAAGGTCTTGAAAATGAGAGGGAGGACCCTGATGATTACTATGAAGAGACTGGTGATGGCGGAAACACCAGTGATGATTGTGTTGATGAAGACCCTGATGATGACAGTGAAGTGACTGATATTGATCTTGAAAATGAGGAGGAGGACACTGATTTTTTCAAGGAAGAGACTGATTATTACTATGACAAGAGTGACTATGATGGTCTTGATAATGAGGGGGAGGATCCTGATGATTACAGTGAAGAGACCGATGAAGATGTGTGCGAAGATGGTCCTGACAATGATGATGAAGAAACTGATGAAGAGGTGACTGATGATGAGGGCAGTGGTGTTGAGAGTGAAGGAGGAATGTTCCAGTCACCACGTCCTACCAGGAGTGGGTTCACCTACCTCTCCCCACAGTCTCTCACTCCTCTGACTCCTTCATCACCACCACAGCCTGCACCTGAGGACCTGGACACTGTGAGTGTCTGTTCTCCACCACTGTTTTGACAGTATCACACTTACCTTCTCTTTTCTTTTGCTTTCCTGCAGCCGTTTTACTTGCAACGACAGACACCAAGAAAGAGGCTCTCACCGTACATCCTCAATCTTATCAAGCAGATTGAAGCCGTGAGTAATGGCTCTACACATTACTGGGGATTTGTGCTGTACACAGCATTAGCTACCAAGCTCAATGTATGTAGCTAGTTTTGACTGGTGGATATTCCTTTTTCTGCAGTCGCTGGTAGAGCAGGACCATGATGATCCAGACGAAATTCCTGGAAATGAAGAAGAAACTGAGGAACAGATTGTAGCACCCATCTTGGGTCTTGATATCAACTATGACTTTGTGTTGCGTTCTTTTATGCAGATTTTCTAAGGAGGAAAGACGATCACTTAAACACGAGCAATAACTTATTACATCTCACATTCACTGCACTGCTCATCATATATTCTCAATCATTACTCATTAATATTCTAACACTATAAATCGCTGCTCGTCATTTATTTTCACACTTTATTTATCACTGCTCATTTGCCCATTATCTATTCTCACACCACTGCTAATTATTTATTCATGCTCACATTAGTTTTTCAAAAATGCAACCCTCGGTGAAGAACCGTGTTGCTGTAGCTTCAGCGATGTTTATAGCTGCAAAATTGCCTGTGCTCAAAGCAGCACACTGCACAAACTGGTAGCTCAGTTCTTATGAACAAACATGTAATTTTAGATAAAAACCAGTCTAAACGTCATTCTAAACATCACCGCATCCAGTTTTTTGTGCTTGAAGATTTCTTGTTCCCTACTACTATCATTGAAAAGGTGTTGTGTAAAGAGACACACATGGTTCAAATATTAATTGGTCGAAGACACATATTGGGTGTATATGACAAGAATATTAGAACACATTTTGGCAAGCAAAACCACCTTTGAACCGTAGACGCGATGTTTGCACATGCCAGTTTAGTCTCGTGCCCAGACCCCGCCCTCAAGAGAGGAAAAGGGTCTGGTGACTATTGAGGGTTTTGGTTTCTTGGTTGTGCTGACTCGACAGTCTTACTTTTGAGACACCGAATCAGATTGCGGTATTTGCCACAACAATGAAATATCACATGATGTTATGTAATAGATCGTAACGCAGCTCTGTGGATTCCGCGTGTCCTCGAATGAAAACAGGCTTTTCTGCGCATGCACTCGACAATGATGAGTCAGCACAACCAAGAATAAAACGCTCAATAGTCACCAGACCCTTTTCCTCTCTTGAGGGCGGGGTCTGGGCACGAGACTAATATCAGTTGTGTTGATAATGACAAGCCACGCAATTCTCACACTACACACATTCATAACAACCTATTCTGCCCAGTGCAGCTAATACAACTGGACAACAATTAGCTAGTACTGCAAAACTTGGCACACGGGTATAATATAGCACTGTTAACAGTCAACAAGTCTATTGTTCTCCTGGCATTCCTACATATTCAGTAATATGCTTCCCGCACTCTGGCTGGGAGAAGGAGGCAATCTCCAGAGGACAGTCTTGGTCCAGTCCCAGTCTCATGTTCCCATGATAGGTGTACAGGAATGTCCCGTCATTGGCCATCCAGTCCTTGATCACCTCCAGCAGTGAAGGTATGTTCTGAGTATCACTCCTTCCAGTTAGCCTTGCCCTGAGGATTCAAAGAGTGTGGTTATCATAACTGAGTATATTCAGTCTTCTTCGAGGCACTTTCGAGGCACTTTTACCTGTATAGAACGTAGCCCTTTTCAATGGAGCGACAGCTGAACTCTCCCAGATCAATCTCGGAGATTTTGAAGTCACAACTGCAATTCTTGTTGATGAGATTGGTTAGTGTCTGCTTGACATCCAGCTCCAGATGTCTTGACATGTGCTGGAAAATCATTCATCATAACTGTGCTATACTCTACCTTAATAACCTAAATACAATGATCTTAGTCAAAACTAGACACAAATGCATATGTTTCGGTAGCGCTGAGTTATTATGACTGTACTTGGTTAGCCAACATTGTTTTGTGCTATAGTTTACCTTGTCTTCATACCACATTGAGCAATGGGGAACTGGGCCAAACTTTAGTTGAATAAAAGTCATGTCTGTGACGTAAATGATATGCATAAGACGATCGCACCTATAAAAAGCTAATGTCTTACTCAAAACGCTTAGTTGATACTCGCCCACATTCTGGAATACACCGGCTGAACCAGGCAACGTCAGTGTAGCCCTGCACACATAGCCACCTCCATGGGCCATCTTCAGAGGGTCAAAGACAAGGGATCTTGTGACAACATTGGAGACAGTGCTCTGGTCGTTGACAGTGATGTCGTCATGTTTCTTCATTAATGGATCTTCCGTCTGCTCTGCTCCAATCCAGTCTACTGTCATATAGTGGGTTGAGGTGAGCAGCAGCACCGCTGTCTGGAGGCTAGCTTCTCAGGTGACTTCAATGAGTGGCCATTCCTTCCCATATGTAACTATATTACATATCGGGCTGATCTGAGAACGAACAGAGGAAAGAAGTCAAATTAGTAGTAGGTGTGCCCTTCGTTTCCTACGCGAAACCTGTTCCATGATGTGGTAACCACACTGATCAGTGGTACCGGCAGGCATTAGAGGACCCTTGCGCAAAACTAATGGTTCCCGGCAAGCTCGGCAGCCCCTTGATGAGTAGAGTGTTTCTGTACTGGAATACGACTGACGCTCTGTCAACAAAAAAAACCAAAAAAAAAAAAAAAAATAAAAACAAGAAAACCACAGGTCGTTTTTCAACCCCCCCCCCTCCGCCCCCCCCCCCCCCCCCCCCCCACCCCCCACCTCCCCAACCCCCCCCCCCCCCCCCCCCCCCCCACCCCACCCCCCCGCGCCCCTTCCCCCCCTCCGCCCCCCCCTCGTCACAAAAAAAAGAAAACAACCAAAAAAACCAACAAAAACAAAAAAACGAACCAACAAAACATCTAAGAAACAAAAACAACAACACAAGCAAATCAACAACAGACACCAAAAATCCACAAAAACAATAAACAACAAAAACACAAAACCACAACCATTTTCTCATTTCTTATCCCTCCCCATCTCCCCTCATATTTTTTAACCCTCTCTTTTCCCACTTCCATTAGTAGTTTGTAGTTCTTGGTGGTCAGACAATCTACTGTTTTCCTATTACAGCCATCGCTACTAGACTGGTGAAGCTGCTGTACTATGCTGTCACAAGATTGTGTGTGGACCTCTGTATCATGCGCATCAAGCAAAGTTTCTTGTAGAATGAACAATGAGGAACTCACTGGGCATTGAAATAGTATATCCCGATGCTGGTTTCACAAGTAAATGCCTCGACTGTCTGGCACTTCACAGGTAAATTACCAGTATTGCTGGTATAGCTATAGCTGCTTTTAATAGCGCGCAATACTAACACCAGTGTTACTGAGTTGTCGGTCAATTCTGTGTAGTTGTAACTTGAGGTAGAGTATTGCCTAACTCCATCTGGAAATTTTGAAGATCCAGTTTTCCTTCCCCCCGAAGTGTAGTTTGATGTAGCATAAACATTGATGTAGTTGTAACGAGGCCCCCCCTCAAATGAAAGTCTGTTGTTTTGCAACTGCTCTGTTCCCTAATGTAATAGCTTCCCTGTACATACATTCCACTCCTAATAAATTGTCGTTCACTTGTGTAGTGATCAACAAAAATTAATGCTCTTACCCATCATCCTCATTTTCCGTTGTAATTGCTTCCAGTATTTCCACTGCTCGGTGCGTACACAAGTGTACTCCCGCATCAATCGACTGCAATATCGTCTTGGTGTTGATTGAGATGAGCTGCTTCTTGCAAACAGCTGCTACAGTCGAGTACCCTGATACTGACTGATCCCTTGGGATGGTGAGCACGACAGGTGAGATTCCTGATGTGCGGGTCGATAGTATGGTGGACTGGGCAGATTGTGAAGTCAGATGGAGGGTTGTAGGTCACACATGGTTACTGAAAATGGAAGCACATCATCATTAATGTTCCAGCACATTCCCCATTGGTCGGGTTCTATCTACAAAGATATATTAGCTACCAACTTATTGCTAATTGTCTCTAATTGTCTCTGCAGTGATCTGCGTGATATCGAGACAGCTGTTGTTGTTCCCTGAGAGGCGCAACAGTGGCTGAACAAGTATACGAGCCACTGTCCGTGGTTCCAGTGTTGTTTTTGTTTAAAAAAAAAAAATTGTCCCACAGATGTATGTATTTAGGTGTACTCCCCCAGTTCAGACACCATACCAACCCTCCTCTCACTATCAGTTAAAGGCTGAGTGACCCTCCATTGAGAGTTAATTGCCACGTGGGAATCCACTTCTTGAATGAGTTTCATTACCATGTCAGCACCAGAGAGTCAGTGGTAAACAGCTGCA